GGGGGGAGGGAGCTGGGGGGAGGTGGTCTGTCGGAAGAGAGATTTATTGGGACATCCCAACGCTGCTCCCCGAGGGCCGATCTGTTTCGTTTGTCTTTCTCGATCTCTGTGACGGCCAGCCACGGTTGGGGCTTTGCAAGCCGCGGTGTGACAGCGTTCGTGTGTGTGGTGGGGAGCGGTCGTGTTGCGGTTAGCGCGCTGCGCTATGAACCCGCCGGCCCCAGTTCGATTCCCGCTCACGGTCAAAATCAGTGACGAATATTTGAACCGGTCCTCGGCCTCCCCTAGGTCGGCTCAGCCTCTGATGAGTACCTGGTGTCGTGTGTAAACATCACCCCTGGGGAATCAAAGGCGACTGGGCGTGGTGTTGGCCACCCACCCCCTCGTGTACAGTTCTGTTCTTCATAGGTGCTCGCTAACAACACTTGCCCCAACAGTCTGTTAAGGCTATACGGGCGATCTTTGTCTTTTTTAAATTCTTTATATTAAGTTCACTTGCTTGCTTGCTTGCGCGCTTACGACCGTGGAAATCTTTCGATAGTTTTTTAACCCACTTCCCGTGATCCAAGCGAGCTGACATTTTGCACACAGACTCGTTGTGCGTGACAATTTATTTTCGTGAAAAAATTTTCCCAAAATTTTCCTCTTTTTAGGAAATTTTCTTTTTCATATTTAATTTAAAATACCAATGTGATAAAAATGAAACTCTTACTCAAGAAAAACAGAAATGAATAATAAAATAAAACCGATGCCACGCATATAAAGGATTTATAGTGAAAAACTTTGTTTTTACGGGTTAATTTTTGCCTGCCTTGTGAGGGCCTCCATGCTATATCGCTCGATTTATTTGCGGTTAATTGTAATTGGCTGTCGTGTGGATGGGCTGGTCACCGCCATAGCAATGTGGAATTTCCACCGCTAGCTCAAGGCTGATAATGGAGAAGAGCACCATTCAAATGCTGCCGCGTGTGGTCTGCTGGGCTAAAGACAGCGGTGTAATTCCACATTGCTATGGCGGCGGCATATGTCTCTCAAGCGGTGAGCATGGTGCACATCGACTGATTGTGGGCCTCCACGTTTGACCAGGTATTTGAGGGGAAGGCAACACCGAGGATGAGGAGCGGCTATGAGAACTGACCAATTTAAAACCGTCGAACTCTCGTCGAAGCTTGGCAGAGCGCGACGATGATTTTGGCGACTTTGCTGGAGCTGGGGTCTCGAGTTCAAACCCCAGTTTGAGTCGCTTATGGGGCCTCTTTACTCGCTCGGGGGAATTGGTTTGATGATCGTTTTATTTATTTATTGTAAGTTTAATCAATGTTCGTTTGACACGTAGGCTTTCGCGACCAATGTTATTCATAATAAAGAATTTTGGGTTAGATCGCGTAAGCATACATGTGTCGTAACCCTCCACTAACCCGACAGAGCCAGTAAGGTTTGTCACGTAAACAAAACGCGACAGTTAGTTATTACTTCAGCCCACCGGTGTGTTGGAAAGTAAATCCACAACATTTACAATTTAAGTCCGACGTTACGCTGGTAATTACATTCAGCAACATCGGGCGATTTGCCAGAATAACTAATGTTTCGTTGCGTAATTTGAATGTTATTGACGTAACGTTGTATACTTTTTAATGTGTCCATCTGTGAAGTGCTCTGTGATGATGTTATTGTGAAGGGTGCAATACTAAATCAAATTTGATTGATTTATTGCTGTCGCCCCATCACACACGCAAGGCCAAAACGTTGGTTGGTGAGTCAACAGTGGGTTGTTCTATGGAGAGGCTGGGTCACCTTGCAGGAATGTAGAATTTCTACTGCTGCCTTAGGGAGACGAGCGCTGTCGTGTGGTCATTTCAGCAGAGAGACATGAACACATTTCAGGGTTTTGTTCGCATGCAAGTGATTCCGAATGTCCTCAGTGCTATTGATTTGAATGCAGAATCTATAAGGTGTCAGAGAATTCATGGCACGATAGGATAAGTAAAAAGTAAGCTCTAAATGGTATTTTGCATGAAACAATGTAAGGTTGTGATGGGTGGGACGCCTGTGCAGGCTGGAGGACGGCAGGTTACCGACACGCGAATTTCAGTAGCACCCGGAGGTCAGGGACCATTTTTTTTACTCTTTTATTTTACCAGAAGCGACCTGGCCACAAATTATAGCTCAACTTCGTGGCTTATCATGTGGAAATGTATATCAGGCACATTTATAGCAGCCAAATACTCGAAACGCATTTTGATTCTAAATGAAGAGGGATAAAACCGGAGGACCTGGAGAAAAATCCACACAAACACGGGGCAGAGAGAAAGACAAGACACGCCAACTCCAAATATACAGCAGGTGGTTAAGGTAGGGATCGAACCCGCGACCTCCTGCAAACCAGGCGAGGGAGATAACATCTCGCCACGGCCGCAACCAACGGGAACGCCTGAAGCCAGACGGGGCTAACGATGTCAGAGTGGTCCCTGAGCGAGGCACTGGGACTGTGCGCTCAGGGGGTGGTCGAAGACCCCGATGGGAACACGCACACCGCAGAGTCTGCATGTCGGCTGTGCAGCAGCTGGTGGCGGAGCAGCCGCTGGTGGCTGTGCCACAGCTGGCGCAGCCGCCGGTGGCTCTGGCGAAGAGAACCGAAACAACGGCGACACGTGGTCGTGCCGTTCTCTTGGCTTGACCCAAATCGGCAAATCGGTGGTCAGAGTTCTGCCGATTTGCATTGTCGAGAGGAGAGTGAGTCGGCCAGCCAGCACCGGTTGCTGGGTGGAAGAGGCGCACTGCGATCCCCTGCACGGGAGGCTCAAGTGTTTAATGCTGCAGGGCCTTCCGAGAGGGTTGAATTATAACGCGCTCTGCCACTGTAAAAGCAGGGAGCCCCATTGGCACAAGGCTCGCCTATGTTTTGGACGTGGATAATTATCCAGCATTTCCTCTCGCCGAGCACAGGGCAGCTGTTGTTGTTGTTGAATTCCGTTAATGAGTGCAGGCTTGTTCTCCACGCGACGGGGTTGAAATTTCAACTCACGTACAGACACGCGCGCGCACACGCTATGGAAGCTGCCGTTGCGGAATGATTATCACGCTGGAATTGCAATCCACAAGTCGCCGGTTTAATTCGATCCCCCGGCGCGACAGCTCAGACAACGGTGCGCGTTTCTTAAACCGCGCCGCCCTCTGTCCACTCAGCAGTGTGAACAATATTTTCACGTTCACGTGGAGTGTGAAGGAGTTCAATGCAGCGGATCGACATGTCCTGTACGGTGGGGTAAAGAGTGGGTACTCCTACCGCTTCTTCCGAAAATGTATTGGCGAGTATGAAAGAGTTAGGCCACACGCTCTCTATACGGGCTGCATCTCACGAAGGCCATTCTACCAGCAGCTCCGTGGGCATGGCAATTGCAGGGCTGCACCGTTACCGCTTACACGCACGTGGGCCCAAGCATCGTGTACGCGAGCATGGCAACCACCGCTATTCACTGCTGAGTGCTCGCGAGGGTCACGACAGCGCCGGTGCCAGGCTAGGTGCACTTTGAAGCCATGCACTTTTGTTATGTCTAGCTAAGTGGGCACTGTCGTTAGAGTGCCAGACTCACAATCTAGAGGACATGAGTTGAACTCATGGCAGGTGTCGCTCAGTCACCTTTCCCCTCAACTCTGGAGGTCACTAAAATGGGTAATGGTTCATGGCAAGCGAGCAGCGGTGGCCGTACGTTGAGATTAAACCCCTATCGAGGGAACGTGGATTTCCACCGCTGGCTCGGGGGGGGGGGGTCACCGAGGTGAGCACTACTCCGATGCTCGCGTGAGCAGGGAGGGTTAGAGGCTGGGTATGAACGCAGCGATGATGACGACGATGACGGTGGTGGCTCGTGGAGCAACAACGGTGGTCCGCGTGCGATGTTCCGCTGGGCTGTCGAGTCAAGATCTCCGGGAGACGCGGAATGAGCCGCAGTGGACGTTGATTCACCCAGACAATAATCATTGTTACCATTTGCATTTGTACGGCACATTTCATCCGTAGATTCCGAATGCGCTAACCGTGTGTAGAAAGCAGGAAATAAACAGAACCTGCAGAGCAAACGGCCAGAACTACAACGACTATTACTATTTATTTTATTTACCAGGTAAGGCCCACTGAGCTACATAACTCTTATTCAGAAGCGACCTGGCCACCAATGATTGCTCAACGAAGTGGCTTACTCTAAAGGCGTGTTTCGACATGTGGAGGAAAAAACCAGAGGACCGCCGAGAAATATCTACGCGGGATGAGAGAGAGACGCAAACTCCAAACATACAGCAGCAGGCGTGAGGGTTGGGACGGAACGCACGACCTCCTGCATACCAGGCGAGGCAGTCAACATCTCGCCACCGCAGTCAATTCAAGACAGCACTGACAAAATCCCGAACGACTCTTGGGTTGCGTTGCGCCGCGTGAAGTCGCTCGCCACGTCGATGCGGGGTGACGTCGCCCCCCCACCCCCCACCCCTCCTCCTCTCGGAGTGTCCACGTGCTTGCGCGAGGTGCCCACCAACCAACCGCGTCCATCATTCAGACAGTGCCTCATTCAGCAAGGGGCTCCTCACCGTCGCCGCTTCGCCCCCTGCTCACCTGTACAAATGCTGGGTTTGTTTAGCCGAGCTCGCAGGAAAGGGGGAACGCGAGTCCGAGCTCCCCCCCACCCTCTCCGGTATTTCCATCCCGCCTGGATGTATTCTGTCACTTTAACTACAACACGTCAATACACAGGAGCAGCATGGGTACATCCGAATTCTTGTCAAATACTTTCGGACCCGGAGGGCTGAGTAGGTGGGGGGGGGGGGGGGAATAAACGTCTAAGACGTTCCGAGCCCCAAAAACAGCCCAACGCACTCCCCCCCTCCCCATCCACTCCGCACCCCGGCACACGGCCCCGACTCTAAACAAGCTTGGCAGCGGTTAACTTTAGACTTCTATATATATACACACGCGCGCATGGGCAGTGTACGAGCAAGTTGCGATCACCGCCCGTGAGTGATGTGAATGCAGTTTGCGTGGCTCAGAAGTCAGACGTACTGTGGTGAGGTGAACAAGCCTCCGCGCCGAGTGTCAGAGCAGCGGCGGCACCGGTAGTAGTGAGAGCAGCAGTGGTAAGCGCAGCAGCATCATCAGCAGCAGCAGCATCAGCAGCATCATCATCAGCATCAGCAGCAGCATCATCAGCAGCATCAGCAGCTTCACAGCGAGCGATGGCGTCAATTCATCTGGTTACTGTGCTGGCAACAGCTTTCTTCGCTCTGCATGGTCCGCTGGTGAGACCACGCGCGCGTGTGTGTGTGTACCCGGTGCGGTGTATAACGCATCGCCGCTGGGGAGACAAAGGCGGCCGGGCGTGGTGCTGTTCACCCACCCGCTCGTGTGCCGTGCCAGCCTTCATAGGTGCTCTCTAACAGAACTCGACCCAACCGTCTGATGAAGGCTACACGGGGGATTTTGTCTCTGCGGGAGTGTGAGTGTGGATGGGGTGCCTCTCGCTGCCAGGGACACGAGTCCAATGTGTCGGGTTCTGTGTGCTGTGTGTGTAGGGTTGTTTGTGTCGTGTGTGTGAGGTTAGAGCACGATCAAGGACGGCTAAGCCTCAGACTCATCACGACTGAAATCATCGTGCAATCATTGTTGGAAATACGGAATTGACATCAATTACACGTCACCACTACTAATCCACTATGCTCACTATCATCATCATCACCACCAACATCAACACTACAATCACTATCATCATCATCGCCATCATCAAGCACAACGCTCATTCATCATGGATTTGGTCAAATATGCCAATGCATGAACCTCTTGAAAAATTGTCTTGAGACGTAGGAATGGTTTCATAGAATAATTAAGGAGAATTATCATCACCATCATCGCGATGGCCATCATCAGCACGACCATCATAATCATAATCAGCGTCACAGTTGTAAACTTATGCTGATGATCTACATCAACAGTATTATCAACACCATCATCATCGTCATCATCCCTCAGAGGTGGGTAAATCGAGCACCGCCACCTGGCGAGATCGCACGACGAGGTGCATGGAAGCCAAGGGCGCGTGTTGTGCTTAAAGACGGAGCGATCGCTCTCTCTCCACATGAATGCGTCATCGAATATCGCCAGCGAGGCCCCACACACAGAGCCCAGATCGCGCCCTGTGTCTGCTCTGGCCCGAGCCATCTGTGCGGGGGCGGCGGATGGGCGGTCGCGCAACACTGCGGCAATTACGTAACCAGCGGTGGCTCGCCGATGAATACCAAGAACACGAAACCGGGCGTCGTTAATGGGCGGCGTTGCGTAATGCCATCCCGTGAAGGAGCCCTGTCTCTCGCGCGCGCGCGTGTCGGGTTCACAGACCGCGGGCGGGCGGGCGGTTGACGAGAAGAGCGCCGTGCGCGTGACCCCCCTGCCCCCCGTGCCGCACGGGAACGCGCAAGCAGGCGTCGATTAGAGGATGAGAAGGCGGTGGTTCACGTGAACCCCGTCCTGGTGCGTTGCAAGGTATTGTGCGTCGTGCTCTGCGGGGCCCCACGCACAAGAGGCAATGTGTTCTTGTGATGTGTCTCAGCAGGGTCTGAATTGCATCGCAAGGCTCAATAAAGAATTCGACTGTTACTATCTGTATAGTAGTATAAAATATATGAACGACTACTAGTAGTCGCTATGTTGTTAGCGACGGGTTCTGTAAATGTTGCTCATGCAATGCGCATTAAGAGGGTGGGATCCAACTGAGATCCATTGTGGTTTTGTATCCGAAAACCAAAATTATATCCGGATAGAAACTTGCTATTAATCCAGCCTGGTTGATCTGCGGTTGTCATATTAAAATTATTGTCCTTCCCACGGAAATGTTGAATGTCCAGCAGTGACTCCAGACCTCCAGCAAACATTCGCACTGCGCCATGTGCTCATATGAGCCAGGAGACTCGGATTTGTTTTTCTCTCTCTCTCGTGTTGTTCCGACTTGCGGGCAGTCTTATATGCGTGGCTCGCGTGCGCCCCCCATAACTTGCGGGGCTGTGTCCCCAGCTCGAAGCTGTGCGTGACCCGACCGCTTGTGCCAACGATGCACGGCAGCCGTAACGGGGAATCGAGCCGTCGATTTCCGTGCAAAACTGGCTCAGTAACCCCCCTCCGCCGCTTAATTAATTTCAGTTGCCAACAAACATAAACCCCAGCGTGGAATGCGGGGAATGTGGCAGCTCCCTCCCCGCCACCTCGTGCACTCTCGTTAACTCGTCTACTGCCCTCCGCCCTCCGCTCGCCGCCTTGGCAGGGCCATGCTCGTGTAAGCCGAGGGTGTCAATTCAATCGCGCGTCTTGCTTGGCGCGTGGCCCAGATGTTCTCGGCTCAGCAGGACAGGCCAGACGGGGGCAGTGAGCGGGGCAGGGACGAGGATACGATGAGTGAGGGGGTCTCTCCCTCGAGTTTTCCTCACTGCGCTGTCAGACTGCACGCAAGTCGAGGGTTCGGGTCACGCAAACCTCGTCAGATCGTTCGATCACGCCCTGCCTGCGATGTCTCATCCCCACTGTGCTCACCCACCACCAGACTGCAGGTCACAACAACAACAACACGATCACCAACCCACTCACTCGCAAACTCGCCCATTCACTCACCCGCTCAACCATCAGTGTACACTGCAGGTCACCCCATTTCTCTTCCTGCTTCTTCCCTCGCACCGCTCCACTTTGGACTTCCCTCTCCTCCCATCACGATGATCGTCATCGTCGTCTATCTCCCCAAGCTCTTGTGATATGCAACAATACAGGACTGTATTGACATGCGTTTCGTGTATTCCCGTGGTCCTGGCTTCGGCTGATAATTCCGACTCCAGAGCAGCGCGGCAACGTTCTACAAGATATCGAGGGAAACATTAAGCCACAGCTGGTAACTCGTTTAGCGTACAACTAAGTACGACCCATATCGAATAGGGGGGGGGGGGGCCTTGCCGACGTAAATCTGGCGCTTCACCAGTGATGCTTCAAGCGAGGCTGGCTCTTCTGCTGATGATGAGACCCTGAATGGCGAAACCGGTCCACAGTTGGTCTTGTTGTTGAACCCACGCTGTGGAAATAATGCACCCCTCAGATAGAAGGACGCGTGGCTGATGAGATATGGAAAACATATTTTTTTCCTATATATATGTTTAATGTCCAGGGAACGAGGCGAAATGTGTTCTTATTTTATACTCGCCTTTTGCCCGGCCAAGGACGGGGTGTGTTGCAGTAAATCTGAAACTTGCAAGCGAAAAGCAGAGCGCGACGTGATATGCATTGCCTTAATGCGCGTGCAGTTTGTGAGGGCGCGGTGACACAGACCTGTTTCGTCCTAAGGTTGTAATCCCTTGTTCATCATGACATCCTTTTACTTTGATGCCTCAACAGCGTTATGGAGATCGCGTGACGTGAGGGTTGTAAGTTGACGCCGAGGAGGGGGGAGGAGGCGTGAGGAGGCGCCTCGGCCCCCCATGTGGAGTGACGTCAGCCGCTGATTATTATGACTGGGAGGGGGGTGTCCATTTGGAGGACGTTACTTAACATGTTAATGAGGGGCGCTGGTCGACGTGGAGTGACGTCACGAGCATTAAGGACAGACATTCCTGGGTGATTAGAGTCGGTGTATTCTCCAAATCTTGACGGCTGTGTTGAGTTCGTCGTGATGCAGCGCTAGTGATGGATTGGCTCTGTCCGTGCAAAGACAAATATCCCCTGTGTAGCCTTAACAGACTGTTGGGGCAAGTGCTGCTAGCGAGCACCTATAAAGGCCTGCACGGCACACGAGGGGGTGGGTGGCCAACACCACGCCCAGCCGGCTTTGTCTCCCTAGTGGCGATGTTTACACATCGCACCAGGTCCTCATTTGAGGCTGAGTCGACCTAGGGGAGGCCCAGGACCGGTTCAGATAAGCGTCACTGATGTTGGCCGTGAGCGCGAATCGAACCCGGGTCGCCAGGTTCGTAGCGCAGCGCGCTAACCGCTGCACCACCGCTCTGCCCGTGCACCACCGCCAGCAGCCGCAGCTTCTGGAGGCGGAGGCGCGGCAGGCGCGGCAGGCGGACTGCCCCTCCCCGTGCCGGTGCCCCGCGGGCGTCGCCCCCTCGCGGTGCCCTGGGGGCGCGGCTCCCGTGCGCGACGCGTGCGGCTGCTGCGAGGTGTGCCCGAGGCTGCGCGGGCAACCGTGTGGCGAGGGCGCCGCGTGCGACCAGCGAGCCGGCCTCGTGTGTCGCTACCGCCAGCAGCAGCACCACCAGCAGCAGCACCACCAGCAGCAGCACCACCAGCAGCAGCAGCAGCAGCATCGGCACGAGTCCGGTAGAAGGGGTGGCACGGGCGTGTGCGTAGGTGAGCAAGGTCGCGTCCGCCCAGTGCGCTAACAGCTGCACCACCGCTCCTCATTTTTTCGAACGCCTGAACAAAAGCAACATTTTTTTTTATTCAAGTACGAACAGAGAGTGAGACGTTAAGTAATGGGTGTGGAATGTAGCGGTGATGGTGGCCCATGGGTTGGGTGCACGAAGCAAACATTATTGTGGGTGCTCTTTAGCCCCCACCGCTCCCCCATCTACCCCCCAACCCCTCCACCCACGCAACTACATAAGTCTGTTTGACGCGTAGGCCAGTTAGTAATGTTTGTCACGTAAACAGAACATGCCAATTCGTTACTAGCACAGCACACCGTCGTGTTGGAGAACACATCCACAACATTTACAATCTGAGTTCGACGTTTCGCCAATAATTACGACAAGCATCAGCACGCAACAGCCAGATTTGTAGAGAAATTTTCCTATTTCGTTCCTTAGAGGGATAGATGTTATGACGTCACTTGTGAGCCATTCACGTGCGAAGGCAGGGGGGGGACAATAGATACACATTGCAAATTAAATTCATTCTCTAATCCCTAGCAATGCCCATCGGCTTAAATTGCCCATTGACTAACATTACCCATCATAGGCATGCATTGCCAATAGACTAACATTGCCCATAGGCCTACATCGCTCATAGACTAACATTGTCCAAAATCGGCTAACATTGCCCATAGACAAATATTTTCTATCGACGAGCATTTCCCATAGACTAAAATTGCCCAAGTAATATCATTGCACATTGAATAACACTGCCCATAGACTAACATTCCCCATAGGCTTACACTGCCCATAGGCTAACATTACTCGTAGACTAACATTGCCCATAGATTAACATTGTCAATCAAAGAATTGCATTGCCCATGGACTAACATTCCCATAGACTTAACTTACCAATAGGGTAACATCGCCCATCAGCTTAAATTCCCCGTAGACTAACTTTGTCCATCAAAGGCTTACATTGCCCATAGACTAACATCGCCAATAGACTAACATTGCCCATAGGCTTACATTCCCCATAAACTAACATTGTTCATCATAGGCTCACGTTTCCCGTAGAATAGCATTGCCCCTAAACTAACATTGCCCATATACTAACATTGCCCATAGGGTAACAAGTTTCGCTGTTTCTCCTCCATAGGAGGAGCGCAGACTACAGTGGTTACAACTGCAATGATCCACGGTTGCTAACGTTGAATTAATCGGCGCCTCCCTATTTCCCTCCCCTGGTCATCCCAGGTCGCCATGACTCTGGTACGGCCGTGGTGGCACCGCCGCTGCCACAGCCACCACCGCCTGTGGGGTCGTGCGAATTCCGCGGGGTGCTGTATCGCGATGGTGAGAGGTTTCTCGTGGACTGCAAGGAGTACTGCTCGTGCCGTGCCGGCAGCCTGGCCTGCGTGCCCGCCTGCCCCCAGTCCGAGATGCGGTCCTCGCCCAGCTGCCCCGAGCCGCGGCGCGTGCCGCCCCCTCCGGGAAAGTGCTGCCACGAGTGGGTGTGCGGGCAGCCAGAGGCGGCGGGCGCCGGCAATCGGACCAGGGAGATGCTCGGACGGCACGACACGATGGCCGGTACGGGTGAGAAGGCAAAGCTCAGGGTCAGGCCACGGTCTAGCCATAGGGCAGCAGTCTGGCCAAATGCCTGGTGGGCCACTCAATTCTGAGGGACTATGGAATGAGTCTTTGAGGGGAAATTGCAAATATAATCAGAGTTTAAAAATTACTTTTTTAAATTTAAATATTGTATTACCTCATGCAAACGCTTCATTGCTTGTTCATCTCCCACCACTACCCCATCTACCCCCCCCACCCCCCACAAAAAAATAAAACACAGTCGACAAGTATCTCAAACTCTACTTGACGAATGTTGCCCGCTGCTGTCCTGCGTTCAATTCGTGCACGTGACGATCATTTCCAATAGGCTTACATTGCACATAGGCTTACATTGCCCAAAGATTAACATTTTCCATAGGCTTATTGCCCTTAAACTAGCATTGCCCATAGACTAAAATTTCCTAAAAACGAGCATTGCCCATTGGCCAACATTGGCTATAGGCTTAAATTCTCCAAAAACTAGCAGTTCCATAGACTAGCATTACCCATAGACTAACATTGCCAATAGTCTAACATTTTACAGAGGCTTACATTGCCCATAGACTAACATTGCCAATAGTCTAACATTTTACAGAGGCTTACATTACCCATAGACTAACATTGCCAATAGTCTAACATTTTACAGAGGCTTACATTGCCCATAGACTAACATTCCCCATAGACTGAAATTGCCCAAAGACTAACATTGTCCATATACTAAAATTGCCCATCAACTCGCATTGCCCATAGACTAACATTTCCCATAGACTAACATTGCCTATAAACTAATATTGCCCATAGATTAGACGTTGTCGATGGACTAATATTTCACATAGGCTTACTATGCATATAGACTTTCTTTGCCCATCGATTAACATTGCCCATAGACTCGATGCCAATGTCGAGGTCTGCTGGCCATGACAAGAGTGCTCCAGCAGAGAGAAAGTTCGTGAAGTTTCGCCGTTCCTCTTCTGTTGAAGGAGCTTAGACCACAGTGGTTTCTCTGCGATGGTCCACTGTTTGGATTGCTAACGTTGCAGTAATCGGCAACTCCCTCTCTCCTTTTTCATAATCAGAAAAAACAGGAAAAGGCTCGGTTATTCGGCAATTTGCTTCGTTCATCATGTCGATATTTTCGTTTGCTTTGTGCCCCTTGTTTCATCAAAGACGCCACGCGGGTTCCCGTGTGACATCAATCCCGTTTTGCGCAGAAACAAGAAAAAATCATCCTCAAAACCCATCACCAGATCCCTGCAATAGTCACGTGACACAAAGCACCCTCGCTAGTCCAACTTGTGTAAACGGATGCAACACCCCCAGCCCCCCCCCCCCCCCCCCCGTTAACTGAGTGTACCGAAATTCCAGCTAAATTCTGGCAGAAACCAGGGCCTTGAAGATGCGACAGTGGCTGGATAAGCCGCTTCCTTCAATTGCGCATTTTCTGGCCCCATAGAGAGCCAGTTTGGCATTGTTCATGATGAAGTTCACCAACCCTTCTATATCTTTGGTGCCCTCATTCCCCCTATATCCAAAAATAAGATTTTGAGTAGGAGATTTCGTAGCAGCTTATCGAGTGAGTCTAGGCTTTTGCAGGGTATGTATTGATGTGCCACTGTTTCGAGCTCACCACAGAATACGCATTCTGGATTTGGTCTTGGTTCCAGCACGAGGTTTTTTCCCTATGCGTGTCCCACTTCTACGAGCATCTGGGAATGGCGAAGACCCTGTCTTTGCCACCAGTGCTCTCCGTATATGCCCCAGGCATGGGTGCGATGTCCAACTTCAACTCTGGGAGATATTTTAAAGGACCGACCTCATGCCCACTTGACTCTGGAGATAACCAAGCTGAATCATCTATAAAATTTCTCTTCAGTTGGAGCGGGGTCTACTGCCATCTCGCGTGAGCTCTGTGGTAAGGGCTCTCTCCTTAGTCATCTGTTGGGTGTTTTTTCTTTACCAACCTTTTTCACAGTCCCCTCGTTGTTGGGTTGGGCATTTGCTGTCTTCGGGACGTTTTTTAACATGCCCCTCTGCTTTGCATAGGTTGCATTTTAATACGTCCCTACAGTAAAACAGCCTATGGGCCCTTCCTCCGTTTATTAACGTAAAGGGGCCCTCCCCCAGCTGCCTATTGGACACCAGCATGTAGACCTGCCTTCTGAGAGACAAGACATGCCTCAAGGTGGGATTGTTTGCAGCCCAAAGGCACATGCTGTACATATGAGGTCAGTGTACCCAACTTAGCCAGGTTGTCTCATATTTCTTCATCAGAAATGTAGGGGGGGGACGTTTAATATGATTACGCATACCGACGGCGATGACAGTGGCTCCAAGGTGAGGTGCCAGTCGTTAACAGTCAGCCCCTTCCCCATGGCAGTATATGCCATTTTCTTGAACCCCATGAAGAAAATCGCCTTTACACTCAACTTGGAGGCGTACTTTATTGAGCCTGCAGGCACGACGCCGGCCTGCGCTTCGACGTAGATGTTGATCGGGACATTGGTGGAAGTCAGACAGTGGATTCCACACTCGCGAGAAGGCACCAGCTGCTGTATACGTTGTTACTGATCGGGTGGACATGTTCATGTGTGTGGGATATGTCACGCCCAACTACTAAATCAAATATATGTTTTCAAAAGCCAGGAAAATAAAGAAATAAGCATTATTATATAAAGATGGTCTATGTTGTTTTGACCAACTTCTCTTAATACCGTTAATTCTATTCACACAAAGCTCCCCTGGCGAGAGGGTAACATAATTGATAGTCCTCAGTAGCTTACAAAAAGATAAAAAAACAGAAAATGTAGAAAAAGGAGCAGGCCAAAAAAATCATAATAACGTGAACACACTCACAGTACTAAATAAAAGGGGTTCAAATGGGATGCACGGATGTGTTCATGTGAAACCACACCAAACAAAATATAAAATATCACGAAACTTAATTAATAGTTTGAAGAAGAAAAAAAACCTCAAAATAAAATATATATATATAAAAACGTGTAATTATGAAATCAACTATAAAATTAAATTGGGGATTGTGCAGAGAACAAAGCCACCATTGCACTGCAGAGCCACGCCCTGAACAGTGAAACCAACCAGAAAAGAACAAAGAAAAAAACAAAAACGTTTCCTAAATGAGCAAACAAATGATCACAATGTGTATAAAGCAAAACACGTACTGTTGATGAAAAGATAATCCAACGAAAAAGGTGAAGAAAACGTTTTTAGAGGTAAGGCCAGGAGCTCTGCATGAACACGTCTCTCTCACTCTCCCTCCCTCCCTCCCCTGCTCATCCCAGGTCGCCGTGACTCAGGCACTGCCGTGGTGGTGGCGCCGCCGCGGCCACAGCCACCGTCACCACCTCTGGCGCGGTCGTGCGAATTCGGTGGGGTGCTGTACCGCGACGGCGAGAAATTTCGCGTGAGCTGCGTGCTGCACTGCTCGTGCCGCGCCGGCAGCCTGGCCTGCGTGCCCGCCTGCCCCCAGTCCGTGCTGTTGCCCTCGCCCAGCTGCCCCGAGCCGCGGCGCGTGCCGCCCCCGCCTGGGGAGTGCTGTGAGAAGTGGGTGTGCGGGCAGCCAGAGGAGGCGGGCGCCGGCATTCGGGCCAGGGAGGTGCTCGGAGGGCACAACGCGATGGCCGGTACGGGTGCAAGGGCTACAACACTCACGGTCAGGCCCGGGTCTAGCCATAGGGCAACAGTCCAGGAAAATGCCCAGTGAGTCGCTCCATTCTGATGGCCGGTGCAGCGGGTCTGGGTGGTGAAGTGGCAAATATGATCAGAGTGTAAGCTTCTTTGCATATTTGCTCATTTAGCTCCCACCACTCCCCCATCTACTTCCACCCCCCTACAAAAAAAAACTACATTACAGTCTACAAGTAACTCAAACTCAACTTTACGAATGTTTCCTCCTGCTGTCCTGCGTGCGGAAACGTTGTAGTTCTATTCGTGCACATTATTAACACTGTCCATCGGGTTACATTGCCCATAGACTAGCTTTGCACCGTAGACTATCACTGCCCAAAGACTAACATTGCGCATAGGCTTACATTACCCATAGACAAACATTACCCATAGACAAACATTGCCCATAGGCTTACATTGCCCATAGACGAAAATAGCCCATAGGCTTACAATGCCCATATACTAACATTGTCTATAAGCTTCCACTACCCATAGGCTAACATTTCTGACGGACTAGCACTGCCAATTATAGGCTTACCTTACCCATAGACTAACATGTTGCCCATAGACTAACATTTTTTATCTGGCCACGATGAGAGAGCCTTAGTAGAGAGAGAGTTCGTGATATTTCGCCGTTCCTCCTCTATTGGAGGAGCACAGACCACATTGGTTAGACTGCTATGGTCCACGGTTTGGTTTGCTAACGTTGCAATACTCGGCGCATCCCTTCCCCTACCTCTCTCTCTCTGCTGGCTGTTGTAGGTCGCCGTGTCTCTGGCACCGCCATGGTGGCGCCGCGGCCCCCACAACCACCGCCACCACCTTCCGCGCGGTCGTGCGAATTCGGCGGAGTGCTGTACCGCGACGGCGAGAGGTTCCACATGGGCTGCGAGCAGTACTGCTCGTGCCGTGCCGGCGGCGTAGCCTGCGTGCCTGCCTGCCCCCACTCCGAGATGCTGCCCTCGCCCAGCTGCCCCGAGCCGCGGCGCGTGCCGCCCCCGCCGGGAAAGTGCTGCCACGAGTGGGTGTGCGGGCAGCCAGAGGCGGCGGGCGCCGGCAAGCGGACCAGGGAGGTGCTCGGAGGGCACGACGCGATGGCCGGTACGGGTGACAAGGCAACGCTCACGGTCAGGCTGCCGACTAGCCATAGGTCAGCAGTCCGGGCAAATGCCCGGTGGGCCACTCCATGTATTAAATTATTGTATTACCTCTCACCTGTACGCTTAATTGCATATTTACGCTCTCAGTGGGCATTAATTCCCATAGTCTGCGGCCCCAAAGATTCCAAATACACCAGCCACTGTCGCATCTTCAAGCAATTTGAGGTGTATTTACAAATGGCTGGGCCGATTATTATTCCCAGTCTGTCACTGGTCACGATTATCCCTGGGGCCATATGCAGGGCAGACGGCCACATAGGCTCCCCACTTTCGTGTCATGTTCTATGCAGTACTTCTAAGTTGCTTATCCAAATCCCACCATGGAGTTGCGAATATCCTCCACATGCACTCGTAGTCACAGGCAGATGATTACTTTCCAGATGCGTTCATTAATAATTACCACATGTTTATATGCATCCAATCAAATTCCTTAACCACCATACTTTCTTCAAATTATCAGGCATTCCAATGATGTATTTCTAAGGTAACAGCGCTATTCTGGTATCATAGGTTGTGTGTCATGACCTCTGTGCATTGGCTGCTACTGTCCTCACCTCTGTTCCGAAGTGATTAAAATGGTTGAAGCCACCTTCTCTGACATGGCAATTATGAGCCCCTCTGATCACCGTGAGTCACCCGGCCTACCGAAACCACGGTCACTTCAAAGCAGACGTTACATTGGTGCCCTGGCCGGGATATCGCCACCGACTCTGCTTGGAGCCAGCGAAGTTGCAAGTGCTCTGACCACTGGGCCACAAGCGTCGATGTCGACCTTTACCAGTCGCTCATTAAGGAGCCGCAGGGCAGATGTTGATGTTGTGAAGGATAAATATGACAATGTACGTGTTTAAAGCCAATTAGACTACGACCTTTCCTATGAGCCCCCCTCCACCCCCAATGCGCAGTGCGCATGTAAATAACGCCACGCACACACCGCCTGTGCGATATTTCACCGTGAATTGCGGGGTTGTTTACGCTCAGCCGTTTGAGAGAAAAAAAAATCGCCGAACTGCTCAACGTCAAATTCCTGACCCATTATTGCGATGTGGAATACACGAGCAGGTGAAGGAGCTGCACTGCGCTATGAACCCATGGACCCGAGTTTGTTTCCAGGCCACTGCCAACATAAAGTGGCGAATGATATCCGAACCGGGTCTAGTTTTGCCCTTCAGCAAACCGCACTAATGAGTGAAGTGTGGTCAAACAAGTCCAATATAGTGACACGGTGTGGGGAGGCCCTCGTGCAGCAGTAGATTGAGAATGGCTGAAATTAAGATGCAAGAACTCGACTACTAATCAGAAAGCTGAGAGTTAACATTCTGGCCGCTTGCCAACGTACACCATCATCCCATGTATGCCTCCTCGCTCAATAATATGCGCACTACATTTTTGGTAGAAATTCCACATTCATAGGGAGTGGGACAGTTTTAAAATGCAAACGTATGTTGAATTCACAGTGGTTACAAATTTTAGTGACCCTGGTGGGATGATGATGATGATGAGCGGAACCAATCACCGACCGAGATATGAACTCTGACCGCAGTTTCTCACATGAGCGATTCGAGTCCAGGCAAAGGCCAAGGTGCACCAGAACTCATCTACACAACCGAGCCTGAGCCACAGGTGGAAATTCCACATTCCTATGGTCGGGATAAATGTGTAGTCCCTATTTACAAAATGGGGAAGTCTAAAGATTCTGACACGAATAGGGTAGCGTACCAGTACACTAAAACTCAGTATCACCATCATTAACTACGTCCAATCAATCCACTGCTGGACGGAGGCCGCTCCGAGCCGTCGCCACCTCTCACGGTCCTTGCGATGTAACGATACAGGCAGCACCTGCTGCTGCTGCAGCAGCAGCAGCGCCAGCTGGTGCTCAAACTCACGCGTGTCAAAATGTCACCCCAAATACGTTCGAGACGGCAGCGGGTTTAACCACTGGCAGCCGCTTTGCTGTGCTGCCCTCTGCTGATTATGCTGCGTAATCACGCAGCACTCCAGCCAGTAAGACAAAAGCCTCTGGGTTTCGCCACGATTATGGATTAAGATCAACTTTTCGGATAAGTCAACAGTGGTTGTTCTATGGATAGACTCCACCCCGCCATGGGAATGTGTAATTTGTTACCAGTGGCTCAGGGCTGTGAACGGGAGATATGAGCACCAATGCCTCAGTGCTCATTCGTGCAAGGAATCACTCTGAATTGCTTTTATTATCTATCGCTTCATTATAATTGGCAATTCCACGTGAGTCAGATTCACAAATCATCAGGCGTGTGTGGTACGTAACATCTTAATTTGTACTCGAAGAGGAAAGATTTCTAAACATAGAAAGGCAGAGTGAGATTGAGCGCATGGTCAGGAGTTTTGGAAATCTTGCTCTAGCCCATCAGGAACATGGTTCACCAATTCCCCTCCAATATAAGTCGAATGTGCATATGATATCCATGCACTTGTGTCTCAAGATGCTGCACAGTAACATGAACAGCCATGCTCAATCAACTTCTGGATGGAGGCCTCCTCCACCCAGTCACAAACCCTGACAGTCTTGTGACGCCACCATCTGCCTCGCCTTCGTCGCTCCATCTCCACGCCGTGGTTGGCAAGATGTTATCTCCCTCTCCTGGTATGAAGAAGGGCGTGGGTTCTATTCCGACCCTGACGGCTGCAGTATACAGTGCTTGGAGTTTGCGTGTTTCCCCCGTGGTCATGTTGATTTTTCTCAGGGTTCTCCTTCGGTTTTTCTCTCCACATGTAGAATCAAGTTGCATTTGGAGTATTTGGCTGCGAAATCTTTCCACATGATATGCCACTTTATTGAACTATCATTCGCGGTCAGGTCGCATCTGAAAAAGAGCTACATAGCTTAGCGGGCTTCACCTGGTAAATAAAAATATCTTAGTTTCAGTTTCCACGCCGGTCTTCACTGCGGTTACACAATCTGCAGAATGCCATCCTCAAGCTGCTCCCTTCTCCCTGTGAAACGTCTCGCCCCCCCCCCCCCCCCCCCCCCCAGCGTTTCGCCAGGAGGACACGATGATGGTGGTGGTGGCGCCACCGGGGGGGTCGTCATCATCCGGCTCCGAGGCTGCTGCTGCTGGGGAACCAGCCGGGGGAGCGGCTGCAGCCGGGCCCCCCTTCACGTGCGAGATGGGCTACTCGAGCGAGTGGAGCGCCTGCTCGCGGAGCTGCGGGGCGGGCATCTCCACGCGCGTCTCCACCGAGAACCCGCGCTGCCGCATGGAGCGGCAGTCGCGCGCGTGCGTCGTGCGGCCCTGCGACCTGCCCGTCCCTCCGCCGAGAAAGGTGACAGCCACCGTCGCAGCGCTTCTCCCTCCTCCGCCGTGTGGCGACAAGTTGATCAGCGGCGGGTGCATGTGTGTGTATGATGAACTTCTTTCGCGCCGTACGTAGCCAACCATGCTCATCGGAGATGCGGGAGGGAAGGGGAACACACTAAACACAAAAGGAGCGATTCTCTGTCCGCGTGGAGGCTCGTGAGTGAGCCACTTGCACGGCTTCAGCAGTCTCTTCGTGTTGAATTGTCTTAAATGTTGGCAGCGAACGATCAACGTGGGCAGCTGGTGTTACTGTGTGGTCCACAACTTTCAGATTGATTCTCGCCAGCCAGGTTTGTCTGGGTCGGCTGCCCACAAAATATTTCCTCGCCCAGCACACCACATCAAGTATACCTAATCTGGCTATGGCGGTTGCTACTTTTCACGTGCCTACTCTAGTCTACCAATAAGCTGTGAGAAACCCTGCCGTGATTTGGCAACCACCCCACGATCAACACCACCACTGCAATGGTACTCAGATGGGATGGTTATTAAAATCGTGACGTGGTACTGGTTTATATCTGGACAGGTGGAAGCTCTATATACAGTACTGTATATCAATCAGCCAATTAACTTTACCCATAGCCAGGTGGAAGCCCATTAAGACAAAAGTGCCTTTGCAAATGAGACCTGGGGTACATAAGCACAAATTAAAAAAACACCTTTAGTGCACAAATGAAATAACTTCATAAATGTAAACAAATATCATTCACAAAGACAGAAAATTTACAGTGCACGTTATTTTTTTCTCCACAAAATACACGATATATGTGTACAGTCCTTTTGTAACACCTTTACTAATCAGTACCATTTAATATTAATTCATTAGTTTATCTATAAATATGCATATATAATAATTGGTTCATGTATGCAGTATATGTATATAGTTTGTTTGCAGGTTCACCACAAGTACGTTTGGTTAATTCAGACTTGATTCCTTGCACAAGGTTTCTATTTGGTGTTTGAACAGCTTAACACCTATTTATTGCCAGAAAGGTTAAAACTTATTCTTATTTTTTCATACTTTGATATTGGCAAAAAGGTCCCATTGGGTCATTCAAACTCTGCCAGGCACGAGAGATTCTACACGCACCACGAGGCGGGTGACATTCAATAAATCGAGTGTTAGAGATTTGCCGAATCACCGATGCGGAGGTGAATGAAGCCATTCCCCTCCGGCTTCCACGCTGCTGTCGACCCATACCTGAACCATACGGCTTCCACGCTGCTGTAGACCCATACCTGAACCATACGGCTTCCACGCTGCTGTAGACCCATACCTGAACCATACGGCTTCCACGCTGCTGTAGACCCATACCTGAACCATACGGCTTCCCCATCTTCTTGTATAGGGAATTTCGTTTTCAGGTCTCTACGGCGGACAGCCGTTTCAATACGAGAAAAATGTCTATTTGTGTTTCTCCCTTGTGATGGGACTTTGTAGGAGATTTTATGCGGGGCGCAGGGTGACCAATAATGTCTGAATTGGTCTGTGATAAGGCAGGCACTGATAAGGATTTGGTAGGTATGGTAGACCTCGCGTGCAGGACGGAGGAGCGAGGTCGTGCATGGAATTGACTGCAGCAGATGGCGCTGCGAGTCCGTGAAATATCGCGGCCTCTCAAATTGGCGGCGGGTTCCGAGAGAACGTTGGGGAGTGGAGGCTGAATCTGATTCTGCCTCGCGTGGAGGGAACTTCCTTCGGGTACCCTGATGCGTCTCTCGGCTGCACTGCTTATCATCATCAACCCCAACGATTTGCAATTAATTCCCCCCTTTACGTTTTGTTTGATGGACTTTCCAGCCGAGGGCTCTAAATGGCCACGTCCGGCGTGAGTGCCATGCCAAGAGCACTGATTGGATCTAACACAGTACGTACAGTACTAGGCTCTCACATGTAGTCAGTTCGGTGGTCTCGGCCTGGTCACTGATGGGGCACGGAGAGTTTTGTATTTGAGTTTTTCATACGTACTTTGTTAAATACATGAGATTCACATTTGTGGTGCAAGTCATATTTGCCTTGCACAGAAGAGCGCCACCTCGTGACCTGAGCAGCAATTCGATGGCATCCTCCTCCAGGGTCGGTCCCCGATTGGCCACGAGGCTCTGTGACGCGATAGGCGCCACGTTGGGACGCTTGCCTTCATCCATCTCTGGAAATGACTCAAAAGCGCAGCACGGCTGGGATATTAACATGCAACACCTCTCGAAACAAAATAAAGACTCGATACACGATTTAAATTGTTGACCCTGAATACCGAGGTTTATCCAATCGTGGCTGGTTTCGATCATTACGTGCCTATAAGCCAGCAAATACACAACAACAAATACACAGAAACTCTACAGCGTGGAGGGTCCGAGTCCCCCATGGATGCTCTAGAGTTGCCCCGGCTGTGGCTGGCGCTCGTTGTTGTTGCTTGCTCCAGCGCTGTGCTGCGGTGTTGCTCTCTGTCTATCTTCCTCTCTCTCACGTTTCCCAACACTGATCCTATGCCCTTTATACCGTGGCATCCGTATTTTAAAGACTAGAATGTCGGCGGCTTACGGCCGTCTTATTCTAGCTCCTGTGAAGGGCTTCTCGGTGCTTTGCGCCTAGCCCGTCGCCCCCATTGATGTCCTCTTCACCCCCACAATGTATGCAGATACTACGGACTAGTGTATGTAGGGTGTATAGGTATATACAAACAAATTGGGGAAGTCGACAATTCTAAACCTGTTGGATCAACTTTTTACCTCCACATCTGGGCGGGGGGGGGGGGGCACTTTCTATAACGTTTTCATTCAGGACTTCTGGAAGGCTCTTATAATTTAGTTGACGGACAAATGCACAAATGGAACGCCATGGTTTATAACAGATACCGTATACATTAAAAACTGTTAAGGGTATCATGGGACCTCCTTTGCCAGTACCAAAATATGAGAATAAGTTTTTCTCCTTTAATCTGGCAACAAAACATGTGTTAAGTTGTTAAAATACCAAACTGAAACCTTTTACAAGGAATCATGGCTGCATTAACCACAATACTTGTTTCGATTTAAAGCTTTCGTGACTGCAAGGATTCATCTTCTTGGTTCTTTCGGTAAAGTCACGTAGAAGGGAAATAATAAAATAATAAAAATAAAACATAATAAAATCAAAATGAAATTATCACTGAGAATTGTATTTTATTATGTTTTTATTATTATGTTATTATTTCCCTTCTACGTGACTTTACCGAAAGAACCAAGAAGATGAATCCCTACAGTCACGAAAGCTTTAAATCGAAATTTAACCAAAGAGTATGTATTCCTGCAGTTGCGAAAGCTTCAAATAAACATTTGTACGTGGGGTGGTTGGAAATATTCGTCTCACGACAGTGTTGGTGAAGAACAGGTCTGTCACCTGAGGACGGCTGCTTGCATTGTGGCCGAAACGTCGTGAGAATTGTATTTTATTCAGTTTTATTTTTATTATTTTATTACTTCCCTTCTACGTGACTTTACCGAAAGAACCAAGAACACAATACTTGTGGTCAAAATGCAAACAAAAAACATACTCTGATAATATATGCATTGTCTTTTAAACTGATTGGTCCAAACCAGAGACAGCTTTCTTTTGAGCCTCGTCTCAAACGGTGTTAGGCCAGAGGACGCCAGTTAAGGGTATGTATATACAATTAGAACTTTTATCATTTATTTCAGGGGTACCACGGTGGTGTGATGTTGTCTTCCTTGACTGGTATAGAGGAGGTCAGGAGTTTTCGTGTCTATTTCCCCGTGGTCACGTGGATGTTTTTCTCCGGGTCCTCCGGGTTTTCCCTCTACATTCTGCAACGTGCGTTTAGATTATTTTCATTATTTTGCTGCTATAAATATCCACATGATAAGCCACTTTGTTGAGCTATCATTTGTGGCCAAGTTGCTTCTGAAAAATAACTTAATAGCCCAGTGGGCTTTACCTGGTAAGATAAAAAAAATAGTTGAGTTTTTATTTGAATACTTCTTCAAGTGATGTGCTTACCTTTCCAATATACTTTGCACTCCTATCGTGTTTGTGTATTGTTTGTTGTTGTAACATTCCGACCCGTCCCTACTAAGCATCTGTAAGAAAGAGCTTCAAAGCCCATCGGATTCCTCCTCCGGTCAAAATAAATATTCAGATTTTTTTTTTCACCCCTTCCCCCGAACAGCCGGGCAAGCGCTGCACTCGCACGTTCCGCGCACCGTCGCCGGTGCGTCTGCGGGACCCGGCGGGGCCCGGCGGGGCCGCGTGCACCTCGCTGCGCCGCTACCGCCCGCGCTACTGCGGCGGCTGCTCCGACGGCCGCTGCTGCACCCCGCACCGCACGCTGACACGCGCCGTGCGCATGCGGTGCGCGGGCGACCGCGTGGCCCTCAGGGACGTCATGGTGGTGCGCACGTGCGCCTGCCACCGACACTGCCCTGACGACGACGGTGACGACGACGCGGGCAACGATGGTAACGAGGTGTGATGGTCATCACGGTGGTGGTGCTGGTGGTGGTCATCGTAATCGTGGTGGTTAGTGATGATGATGACACCATTGTGATTGACAAAGGTGATGGCGATGAAGACACAGTTAAGCCAGTGATGATCACACGATTATCATGGTGACATTAATAAAGATGCAGATGACAAATGGGACATTGATGATGACACAGGTATTTAATCATGATGGCGATGATAAAATCATGATGGCACCTGACAGTGGCACTATGACGATGACCACCACCACGCCAGTGCATTGAAACACACCACGACACCGTGGTGATCGACGACGAATTACACAGTCATTATAACAATAATACAATGATGATGGTGATAGCACCACGATCATACCATCTTAATGATTATGAATATGATAACATGGTAATGACACGATGGTAAAAAATACTATGGTATTGATACCACGATGTTTATAGTGACGATGATCATAATGATGGTAGTGAATATCACACGTTACAGACAATATTTACTCCACAATAAAAACTCGCAGACACCACTTGCATCACGTTAACACCATAGTGGCATTAACACCATGATTACAACACCACCTCATCCGCCTCACCCACTACTGTCACCATGACACCATACCTACACCACCACTAAGTGACACCACAACTACACAACCACCAGTACACCTACACAACCACCACCACAGCTATACCACCACACAACTACCACCAGTGAGACGACACATACACAACCACGACCACACATACCCAACCACCACCACCGTGACACCACACCTACACAACTACCACCACACCAACACAACCACCACCACCCCTACTCCACTACCATCAGTGACACCACCACTACATCTACACAACCACCACCACACCAACACAACCACCACCACACCTACACAACCACGACCACACATACACCACCTCCACTACCACCGGTGATACCACCACTACATATATACAACCACCGCAGTGACACCACGATTACTGCACCAATTTCGCAACATCCTCGACGACATTTTCGACCTTTTTTTTAAACGAAACGTTCTATAGGCTTTATATGAATAATTATGTGACTGGTCCAACTCAATGTAACCATACACGGTAGTTGGTATGTACTTAGACCTAACGATAGAGCTCTCCGTAGCCGCATTCCACTATACACGGCTGAGATTTAATGTTTGCACTTAACTAGAGAAGAAGTCTGACATCTCCGATGCTTTATCATCTGAGTTCCTCTCTCTCTCTCTCTGCAACTTTCCCTTCTCACGCAATAGTAACTGCTACCCCAGTGTAAATACACATTTTGTATATAAAGTCCTGATACTAATTTATGTAACTACTCCATTTCTATCCCTGTGTATAGATTGTGTGAAGTATTTTTTTTTACATATAAACGCTTTGCAGTTACATGGTGCACCTTTGTCTCTGGCAGTTACATTTTCATTCATAGTTCACCTCGTCCCTTGATATAGAATATCTCGTTTGCAAGGGTGTCAAGGCATTTAGCAAACACGTATTTAACATGAGAACCTACATCAACATAAACAGTGTTTATTTGTAGGGGGATTTTTAAAAATCATTATAGAAGGATCAAGGTATGCCCAAGGGCTTCCACCCTGCCCTCTTGCCTAGATGCCCCCGCTAAAAGCCGACGGAATGTAGGCAAGGAAGTGTGGCCAGCTCGGGCTTTTGAATCGAAAACAACTGAGGAGTTGCAAAACAAGAGCACTGTAATGTAACACAAAAAAAACATTCACAAAATAAACAATGCCGTGCGTGTGTGCGTACAGCAACTACATTCCAACTAACGTGCAGCCCTTCCTCAATCCACGAGTGGATGAAGGCCTCCCCTATACCATATCAGTTGTGGAAAGATTTGGCCACTGGTTCAAATAGCAAACGCTTCACTGATTTCAGCCGTGACTACGAATCAAAAGTCGATCCCTCTATAAAATTACATTTTTATTGTACAAAAATCTCCGCAGGCATTTGCTTTATGCGTTTTTTAAGGCTGCATGTTATTTTTGCCTCCAAAAAGTATCACTGACGATGATGTTAAATCCCATCGTGACTTTGCTCTAGCCGGGCGCAGGCAGAGAGCAGCTGCTGCGAACGCCTGCTCTCACGTCTGCAGGCATATCACAAACTGCGTGCACTCGTTCATAATTCACGCGCACACGGCAATCCTGCACCATTCACGCACATTCCTCTCTTAACTTCATCTTAAAGACGTGTTTTTTTTGTTCGTTGTTGTTGTTTCATTAACGAACATTGAAAAATAAAACCCAAGATATTTTACAAACGTACCGCTCGATCGTGTCAGTGTTTGTGAGTGAACGCGTTGAGACGTTTCACTGGGCTGTTTATAGATTCGTGCCATCAACCATTGGTCGTCGCTCAAAGGTTCCACAGATGCTCATCTAAACAATGCTGAGCCCAGCATCATCTTCCAACCATGGCACGAACCCCACTGGTCACAATCAAAGGCTTATGACGTTGGCGTTTGCGTCATTGCCCAACGTGATTTGTGGATTTGCGCAGAGGCCATCAATCCATCGGGTCGTGGAGGGCTTCTGAAAGACGGCGGAGCATAGCCGAGGAAACGAGTGGGAAGGATTACAGTCGATCAGCGGTTATCCGGCTGCTTTCCAACATAATCCGGCGGTCCCGGACCAATCCGGCGGTCCCGGGCCAATCCGGCGGTCCCGGGCCAATCCGGCGGTCCCGAGCCAATCCGGCGAAACCGGCAACGTCGCTCCAAAGGCAGTGAACCTAGTCCGGTGATCGACACCATGTGCATGACACTAAACGAGTAGCTACGCTTGATTTCAGTGTGAAATATTATGAACTGTACATTATACACTACATACATACAACTTAAACGATGAAAATACTGCACGTATATATGTTTTTCATGATTGATAGCTACGGTAATAAAAACTAAATATTTAACAGTTCGATCCGGCGAAAAGTGCGTTGTGTAATTCGGCGTTCACTGGAGCACCGCTCTAAAGACTGCATCTGTCTGGTGATCGTCAAACACGTTGTAGAAACAAGAGTCTAGTTCATGCATGACCCCGTGCAGAGTCTTCGAGATTGGAATGGTAAGTGCGGTGTAGTAAATGCAGTGACTTTTTACAGTAGGATATTTCTTTTTGTCTATTTGTATGTTTATTTATGACAATTTCGTATAGTAAACACATTTAAAACAAACATATCACAACACCTAAAACGTAATGTTACGCAAGAATGTGCAAAAAATATATTTTAAGTCATGATTTCGTGATTATCATGATCGACTGCAGTGTTCCTTAACATGGAGTGTACGCACCCACTGTGGTGCGTGATGCCCTTTCTGGGGGTGGCGAGACATGGGCAGATTTTTTTTTAAAGGTAAATCATCGAAACACAAATTACTTTGTTTCATCAAACCTACGTATTTATTCACTTTTTTACGATGGAGAACCAGAGGGGTGCAAGGCTGCAGTAAAGGTGAAGAACCACTGCTCTACTGTATTGTACATCTTGCTGTCACTGCCGTCTGGTCCCCGCACCTTAACCCCGCACCATGCCAAGAAATAGATCAATAAATATCCCACATTATCATTCTGACATGTCAAAGAATGGGCCCCATGAATATATAAAGTTATAGAACCACTTCTAAATTCCCGTTACTCGCACCCCATTGTTGGGTGTACCCAGCAAAGAGTGTTTGTCGCATGGTATTGTATTTAAAACGAAATGCTTAAATCCTCATGGTTGGAATCTTGGCAAAAAAATAAGTGAAAAACCAAATTTAATATCACTGCAGAACCCGGTTTAACCACGGGCGGTTGAAGCCTGGATTCAAACCCCAAGTTGTTAACGGTACCAGCTCAATGCCGTGACGCACTCACCGTCCAGGTTTTGATGGAATCCCTCGTTTCTCTCCGCCGGACGAAGACCGCTTGTGTTGCGATCGAAATGTCGTGGGTTTTTGCTTTGATTATTTTCAATTTATCCTTTTTATTTTAAATTTTAATTTAATTGTATTATTTTTATTTTATTTTTATTTTCTATCTACGTTACTTTACCGAAAGAACCAAGAATATGAAACCCATTGGGTTTCTAGATTTGAAGTTTTCGTGACTGCAAGGATTCATACTCTTTGTTTTTTTTTGTAAAGTCACGTAGGTAATTTAATTAAATCACGACGTTTCGGGCGCAACACAAGCGTCCTTCTTCAGGTGGGGACAACTTAGCGAAAGCACACCGCTTAAGTGTGCACACACTTGTGTTGCGCCCAAAGCGTCGTGATTTAATTTATTTATTTTTACCTACGTGACTTTACCGAAAAAAACAAAGAGTATGAACCCATTGGGGTTGGATAGCTGCCAGCTCCGCCAATTTGACAAAGCATCCTCCGTTGTTTTTCTTTCAAAACCCCACAGTGGAGTAAATTGGCCAGAATTCATTGTAACGCAGCATCATCGTTAAGCGTCTTTGTGGAGAACATAAGCAACAAAATAGATCGACAGACAATACTCCTCCACATGACCGTCTCTACGTACCAAAAAAGAGATGTACTGTGTTTTTATTACACAACCCAGTGGGCCCACAGTCTCAAGGGACTGCATAATTTCAGTAGCATTAACCCAATACAAGCAAAGTCTGAACCAGTTTCAACATACGGTGTTTCCTCAGCACAGTCAGGCTTTCTTGAATCGATGTTGGTGAACGGCCAAATGTAATAGACAAGGACCCTCTCTTTACGACATGGGTCCGAGTTCAATGCAAAATAAAAACACGTGGCTTAAAATTATCATTAGCATTATTGTGTAATATAAAAACAATATCAATAAGCAGAAAATATATCTCTCCTTAATATCTGTCTCTGCACATGAAAATAATGTATAAACACAACCTATCACTTGTGTAGTGAGTTCCAGGGAGACCTAAGACGAAGTGCTTGAGGCACACCTTTATTCAATACAACTGCGGAATACACGGGTCCCTAACACAGAGGGGTAGCGGTCCCTCTACCCGATACCTAAGGAGGTATAGCATCCGGGCTAGCGTGTCCTAACTACTCGGACTACACTCACGTTCCTCTGGCTAAGGGGACCTAGGGGGAGGCTATCTGACCCGACACAGCCAAGGTCCTCGGGTCCCGAAACACTGGCCACTCAGTCCCGGCCCTTAGAAAGACGGCGGGTCTGGGGGTTCCCAGGGTCCTAGCCTAGCTGGTCTTTTTTCTTCAGCTTGACGAAGGCTGCCGGATTCGTCCAGAGGTCCGGCTTTTATACCCGTGGCCGGGTCTCGTCGCCCCTGGCCACGCTCCCCTTCTGAAACTCTCTAGGGGGCTCTGGAATATCTCCCCCAACCCCTCTCTTAGGGTTGGGAGAGCCTAGTGTCCCAATGGCCCGGCTCATCCTGTCTATCCCGGTTTACCACCCCTATGGACACGTGTGCTACTACAAGTAAGTGTGCATAACAATGCTATATACAATACCTGACACCGACGCTACATCTCCCCCCCCCCCCCCCCCCCCCATGTAGCATCCAGCCGTCCCGGCTGTCAAACCAACAATAAAGACCGTGAATAAACCAGAACAGAGTACGTGTGCCTCATTAAACGAGAACGGTAACAATAACACGAACGGCCCCACATAAATACCCAAACCCACCTGTACAATTGTTACACTATTTACATATATACATAAAACCGCACGCACACCCGCACCCCTGCAACGCAGCCGACGCGAACCGAATTGACGATGGGCAAGACGCGGCCAGAACAAGCACTGGTCGATGAACAACCGGCAGAAGGTAAGTGAGCGGTGCGGAGGCTGAGTAAATGTGGGATTTAAGAGAAAGGTTTTTATATGGAGCGAGTTCTCGTGGCTGGCCCGTCCGGAGCGGCGGGGAGAAGTCGTGGCCGTGGGTCAGCAGGGACAGGAGCATCTTGGCCACTCTGTGGTTGGGCAGATGGGTTAACGTCAGCAGGAGCAGCCGGCGGGGTCCCCTGTGGCAACGTTATTCCAGCAGCGTCTGAGGGCGTAACAACATGTCTGGGCTGAGGGTTAGGCTCCGTAATTGGACGACTCGGCTCGTCAGACACGTCACGCTCTCGGCCCCCGTGCAGCGTAGGAGGAGTGTGAGGGAAGAAGGGTTTGAGACGCAATGGGTGCACATACCAGCACAGCTTGCCATGCTGGAATTTAACACACTGAGGCCGGACGACCCGGACAATGTCCACCGGACCCCTCCAGGGTTTCAGCAATTTGGGCGATGTTGCTAAGGGCACCTGGGGGCAATGGAGCCAAGCCCATTCATGGCTGGACACGCAGTCGCTCGTTAGCCAACTGGCGAGCCTCAGAGTTGTGTTTAGCAGCCTCTCGCGCCTCGACCAACCTCTGAACATTAGATCGAATATGTTCGGCGATCTTGGACTTAGGGGAGGGCTACTTAGTGCACAATTGAATGACCATGGGGGGGTTGACCTCCTTGCCGTAGATCAGGTAGAATGGGGAAAACCCCATGGCTGCATGGGGTGCGATTCTGTAGGCGGCCAATACACCGGGGATATGAAGGTCCCAATCGACCTGCGACTCGCACACTTGGTGGCTCAAAATAGAGGTACGTGTTCTGTGGAGCCGCTCGACCATAATATCAGTCTGTGGGTGGTATAGCGATGTGCGAATTTTATACGTGCCTAGCAGGTTGCACACATCCCGGAGCAAAGTGGATGAAAAAAAAAATCCCTTGATCGGTCAGCAGCCGTTCCAGAACACCCTTATCCAGGACATAGCCCTGGAGAAAGGCCTCCGTGATGGCTGCTGCCGATTGGTTGGGGAGCGGCCAGGCCATAGGCCAACGGGTGAATTATTCAACCCCAACTAACAGGTACTTATTACCCCGGGGAGTGGCAGGGAAGGGCCCCAAGATGTCAAGCGCAACAAGTTCATTCACGCGAGACACGTGAATGGATTGTAGGGGCGAACACGACGGTTTAGAGGGAGGTTTCCCTCGAGCGCACTGGGTACAACCTTTGAGCAATTCGGCGACGTCCCTTGCCATGCCCGACCAGAAGAAATCAAGCTGGAGCATGGCAAGGGTCTTTTGTGCCCCCAGATGCAGGATGCACTCATGAGCAGCCCACACAGCCTTCCCCCGTAGGAGAGTGGGTACCACCAGCTTGTACCTCAGTGCACAGCTGTTCCATTTCATGACGAGGCCGTCCCACACGACAAAGGAAATCGGGCTCCCGTGGCCTGTACCCTCGTGTGCCTCATCGGCACAA